TTACACTTTTCATAAGTAACTTCAGACAGAATCACTCAGAATTGCTGGTGCAGCATTGTAGATACCAATTTGTCAAAAATCAATAGTTGACAATTCAGAATAACATGGTTTTGTGACTTTTGCAGCACCCTGCCCTTGCCTGCATGGATATTAAAGTTATGCAATGATACACTAACGTGCTTGTTAAAAAAAAATTGTTCAAGGTAACTGAAACTTAAAAAAAACCAAAGATGGCCTTTATATTTACTAAGATTGTTACGTGTCACGTTTCAACAAACGACATTTAAAATAATATGTGAAAAAAGAGCCTACCGTTGTAGCTGTTTTTGAAGTTTTTTGTGGTTTTCCTCAATAGATGGTCATGCCTTGCATTAGTCCCAAATGGGAGGGTGAATGAGAAAAGCTGTGGATTGATTTCAAACTGCTGAATAGAACTTCAGGGCCCAACAGCTTTAAAAGCAGTTTCCATGTGGTAGAGATCTTTGCCAACATTCTTTCTCTGGGGTGAAATGTAGTGTGTTGTACTAGAGAACTTGCTTAAAACATTTGTAACTGCTGTACTCATACTGCTTCTACTGACTACCATAAATTTGTGTTATTTTTATTTTATGTAATAAATATGTTTTTGTGAATGTTAGTTTATGAAGATGACATAGTTTAAAAATCATACTTTTCATATTAATGCTTTCCGAGGATATAAAAATGTCTGCCCTTTGAATGAAATAAAGCAACAAACTAAAGCATCTCTGCTCTTAATTTTATAAGGAGTAAAAATGTTGTTCTTATACTAACATTAGTATATAGCCAAGAAGTTTCCAATGTAGAAATTAGTTTTAGCACAAATAATTTTCTAGTTTAGTCACTTAGGGTCCTCTCACCCTTTATTTTGTTACATATAACAAAAACTTGAATGTCAGAATCAGCTTTTTAAAAATAAATTTTATTTCTAATTTGGAGTATGATAGTAAAAGATATTTTTGTTTGCTAAATGAAGGAAACGGTATTAACTATTTAATATTAAATTTGATTTTTAAAAATTCAAGTGGTATTTTAGATAATTATGTGAACATCTTTAAAGGTTCATTTTACTTTTATCACTCTTTGGTACTTTTAGCAATCAAGGTAACATTTATTTCTCTAAGCTGAAAATTTAATAAATATGGATATGGAAAAATATTTTATTAAGAAATAGAAAATGAAAGAATAGTAATTTGTTTCCTTTTCTATTCAAAATTGACTTTAGAAGCTTTTCAAATTAAAGCTTGAATAATCTAAGACTTGAATCTCATGCTTTTAAATTATTTTAAATCTAGTTGTGATATTCTCTGGTTTTGGTTGAGATAAATTGTCAGTTTATGGCTTTAAAGTCTGAGAATATCTAATAATGAAATAGCAGATATTGATTTGTTTTGCTCTGTGTGGCAGGTTTAACAGGATGTTGAGAAATGAACTGGATAGATGTTAATAGATTTAGACAATCTTAGAGATTCATAGTTTACTAATGGTATACACAGTTTGATACTTTGTACTATAGAAAATTATTTTGTGGATTAAAACATCTTTTCTTGAAAAGTTATGACCAGTGAACACAGTTTTATTGGCATTCATTCATTTAGGAGTTTACTGAGCACTACTTCTCTGCCAGAACTACAGAAAAATAAGCTCAGACAAGCAAAACTCAGTCTCTCCCCTCAAAGAGGAGGGGTGTGTAAGTCAGCAAGAAGGGCAGGAAACAACAACAGAACGCACAGTGGGACCTGCCACACAGAAATGTACGCGGGGTTCTGCAGTTGCCCGGGAGAGGATGAAGCCATGGAGGCTGCGCCAGACTGACTTCTGGAGAGAAAATAAGGGGTTCGGGGTGGATGATGGGCAGGACCAGAGGGAGAAATGCTCTAAGGATGGGAGCAGCACACAGGTGGGAGGGTAGATCATTGAGAAGATTTATAATTAGTTGTATATGGCTGGAGCTTGGAGGGAGAGAAAGAAGAGCTGAGAGGGGTGGTGCATATTAAGAGGTCAGACAGGGGACTAGGGGTCAGATTAAGGAGAGTCTTTTTACCTTGCTGAGGTGTTTGAGCTTTATTTGTAGCCAGTGAGAGACCACTGAGAGAGATTTTTAAGTCAGTGAGTGACATGATCCTGTTTTCATTTTAGAAATAACCCTCTAAGTTTGAATGTCTGAAAAATTCCACTGCTTATCTATTGTGTTAGTTAGTTTTACAAGTTTAGTGGCTTAAAATAGCACACATTTATGATCTGACAGTTTCTGTGGGTCAGGAGTTCAGGAATGACTTTGCTTGTATCCCACCTGAAAGCTGTGTTGGCCATGGCTGCATCCTCTTTCAGGATGGAGTAAGGTAGAGAGGTGTGTGAGCCCATGTGGTTGTTAGCCACAGCTCCATGCAGAATGTAGGACTAAGGGCAAGATTGAGGGGGTGTGGTTCCCCAAACCACCCTCACGTTTGTGAATTTACTAGAACTCATGCAACTTGCTAAAAGCCATTATATTCATGGTTACGGTTTACAACAGGGAAAGGATACACATAATATCAGCCAAAGGAAGAGATGCATTGGACAGAATCTGGGAAGGTTCCAAGTGCAGAGCTTCCATCATTCTCAGGATGTGTTACCCTCCTGTCATTGATGTGTGACATGGGGTACTGCCAACCAGGAAAGAGCTACTGAGCCTCACAGTTCTTTTAAACTGGGGCTTCATTATTTAGGCATGATTAACTGATTGAGTGTCTCAAAGGGGTCCCAGAATTTTTCCTTGTGCGGTCATCTCCCCTGCAGTGGGAGTTAGGACCTCTGACTTGTTTCTAACCAGCATCCTAGGATCTTATGGAATGTCTGTGGTCTGAATCTATGTTTTAAGTCTCTGCTTATGCCTGAAGCCCTAGTTGTTTGGTCAATTGAGTTAAAGATGAGAACCCAAGTACTTCCCAGGCTAAAGGCTAAAATTTAAAGAGAGAAATTACGACTCAGTATAAGGAAGGGTTAATGTTAAAAATGTATCATATTTGTGAGTTAAAATCTTCTGAGTAGTACATAAGTCTATGTGTAGTGAATTCTTAACCTAAACATGCAATGACAGACGTATCCATAAATGCCATGATATTTACTTGCTAGGCGTAGCTGGTTATATTATTTAGGAAATTGGAACATATAAGAAACTTTGGATTCGTATCTGTTGCTGTTTAATTTTGTTTCCAGCCGCTGTTAATGTTTATTTCCAAGATTGAGAAGTGGTGGTTCTGGAATCAGGAAATCAGGGCTTTATTTCTAACTTTCCTTGGGTCATATGAATTCTTTGCAACAGCAGAAGTATACAGAAGAAACAGCTTTATTCCTTCTATTTTTTGCCCCATGCAGTTAAGTATGTTACATGATATGCATGTATCTGCATTTTAGTTTAGTGGTTCCAACTTGGGGAATAAAATGAAAATGTATAGTTTTCAGATAGTATTTAAACATATGCTAAGCATTCTCAGTCGGTGTTATTGTGAGCAAATTTATTAAATATCCTTTACTTTTATTTCCTTTCTGAAAGCTAAATGTATGTTATGCTTTTATGTTTGTAAATTAAGCTTCGTGATATGATTCAGATTTACTTGTTAGTGGTCACATAGTTCAGCCTGGTAGCCCCTATAACTAATTAATACTTTGAAGTGTAATGAGAAAATTGATGAATTTTCATTGTTTCCTTTCCTGTTATAAATATATCACCTGGTTTTGTCTGTAGCTCTGGCAGGTAACTGTATAGTCTTGATATGCTGGTTGAAGTGTTTTGTTCTTCAGTTTCTCCTAGGGAGACCATTGGTGGTTATTTTGTTTTGTTTTTAATAGGAAATACTTGGAGTAGGTATGAATTCCTCAGGGCATTTTTGAGTAACAAAAGATGGCTGTTAACCTGCCTCCTTACAGAGCCCTGCAGCTGGAGGATATTTTATGATGTGCTTATAAAGGGGAGCAGGGTTGACCTCTTCTTCCTAATAGACAGAGTTTGACCTTATTCTGGCCGGAGGAGCCAGGCATCCAAGTGCCTTGTGCCTGCTCCCTACACTTGTAGGCCTGCTAGAGGTGCTTTGGAAAGCTACACCATCAAACAGTGACATGGAGTATGTCATTGTGGGTATATGGTTTAAGCTCCCTCCTCTCTCTCCTTAATGAAACTTTTAGTAAAGCCTCTCTTGATTACTCATCTTTTGTACAAGTAGAATCTTGAAAGGATCCTGAAAGTGCTGATTCCTTTCTGGGTGGGGGAGGTCCCTGAGACAGCACCAAGGCATGCAAAACGCAGCTGACAGCTGGGGGCACATAGATGCAGTGGGCCGCTGGGCTGGATATGCTGCGATAATGTTTACTGCTTGGAGGATGCTTATAACTGATCACTGACATGCCATTTGATAAATGCTTTAGGATGTCTGCTATTTCTACTTGTCCTTATAAGAGCCCTGCAAGAACCACCTTCCTTATAGAAATGCAGAAAAGGAGGCTTCAGGAAGTAACTTACTCAGAGTCATCTTGCCTAGTTACAAGTGTGAAGTCAGGCTTTCTACTCAGGGATATGATTTCAAATTCCTTGTTACGAACTGCTATATTGTGTCGTTTCATCCTTCACTAAGCCTGTTCTTTGAAGATTAAAATTTATCTTCTGTAATCAATTTAGGAAGAGGTAAAAATAGAAGCTCCAGAACTCTGAAAATCAGAGGATTTTAACCGTGCAGGAGGTGAAGTTAGTAATTAGCACATCTTTATATTAATCTCGAGTTCCCACGTCAGAAGCTAGTTTTCTCCACTCTTGCCAGTCAGCTCCTACTCATACATCAAGGTCCTCCCTCTTACTTAAAGCCTTCAGCTGCTTCACCACATCCTGGCCAGAAGTAAACTTAGTGTATCTGTGTTCCCATCATATTTCAGTTACTGCCACATTTTCTTTCTTTCTTTCTTGTGTTAAAATGAGTTATTAGATATTATTTTCTTTGTTAAATTTTTAATAACAGCTTTATTGAGATAGTTTACATCTCACACAATTCACTCTTTTAAAGTGTACAATTCAATAGTTTTTAGTATTTTCAGACTTGCACAATCATCAGTCAGTTTGGAATATTTTAATCACCCAACAAGAATCCTCTATCCATTATTAGTCATTCTCCACTTTCCCTCTATTATCGTGCTCCCCAACCCCAGGCAGCCAATAATCTGTAGATTTGCCTGTTCTAGACATTTCATGTGAGTGGAATCATACAATAGGTGGTCTTCTGTGACTGATTTTCCACTAGCGTATTTTCGTGGTTCATCCATGTGGTAGCATGTGTCGGTCCTTCATTACTTCTTTTGATTAAATGAGATTCCATTGTGTGGATATATCACATTTTGTTTATCTTTTCATCAGCTGAAGGACATTTGGGCGGTTTCCACTTTTTGGCTATTAATGGATGCTGCTGCTGTGAGCATTTGTGTACACATTTTTGTGTGAATGTACGTGTCAGTTCTCTTGGGTCTGTATCTGGGTTGGAGTTACTGCATCATACGTAACTAACCTTTTGAAGAACTGCCAGACTGCTTTCCAAAGCGGCTGCACCATCTGACTTCCTCCCGAGTAGATCTTACTTTCCGCACCTCCTCACTGACACTCATAATTGGTCTTTTTGATTATAGCCATCCTGTGAGTGTGAAGGGGTATCTCATTGTGGTTTTGATTTGCATTTCCCTGACGGCTCCTCATTAAATTTTAAATTGTTCTGGGTAACAAATAATCTTCTCTTTCTTATCTCCTACAGCACCCACAGTATTTTCCACATACTGGCTCATAATAAATGTTTAAATTTATAACCCTACTTAAAAAATTTTTCTTAAAGGGAGAGGTGATGCTTAAAATTTTTTCCCGCTTTTAACAATGCGCTTTACCCATATCACTAGCATTTTGTCTTACCTTTACCCTCACACCTGGTGTGAGGTCTACTTACGTATTCTGTTTGACTTCTCATTGCCAAGCCCGGCATGCCGAATGACTTGATGAATGTTAATTAAATGAATAAATGGAGTGTTGTTTGTGTTCATTCGGATTGTTGAGCTTGTCGCTGAGGTCAGGTGGCTTTTCTGTTTCTACTCTTTGCTAATAACCTACTCAAAGATGTGAAGAGCATTAGAGGCTTCATTTTAAACTGTGTCTCCAGTAAAATAGACTCACCAGTAGAAAACTGCTTCTAAAATATAGTTTTACCTGTCTGGTCTGTTTGCAGACTGTTTAAATTGTTACTGTTCGTTCTGGGGGCTCCCTGTGTAGGGAGTCCCAGATTTGTGTTTTTTCCTTATCTGAGGAATCCTGTGAGATGTTAACCTGGTAAATCAAGAAAGTTCACCATAGAAGTTAGATCATCTTCATTATAAGGCATACTTAAAACTCTTTAACTAATGTGTGATTTTTAAGGCTTTAAAGAAGACATCAAAGCCTGCCATTCAAATTTCAAAGGAACTCTGTTCGACTTTAGCATTGTTTTATAAACATTGGCTGATATGCGTTTCTAATATATTGTGCTAGGAAAATAGAAGTATTTAATAATGTCGACATTCTTTCTTGTGCTATCATTAACTTAACCTTGCAAACAAAGCAGTTATTTATTAGCAAGTCTTTATGTAACTAAAACCTTCCTCTAGTGAATTTACTATGAAAATTTAATTTATAAAATTTAAATTCCAGTTTAAATGGAACACAGAAAACATTGTTTTGTACAATTGGTGAAATTTGCTAGAATACGAATTCTGATGATTTGGCGTTTTTAGTTATCCAAATGCAGGGTTTAAATTTTTGTTGCTTTGGTGCTCTGAGAGAAAAACAATACTAGTTGATTTTATGAATTTGTGTGCCTTAGATCCTTAGTAAACCACACTTCTTCTGAAGTCAGAAATATCATTCTACGCTGTAAGTGGTAGGGCCAGGGAGGTGGATGTCATGGTGATGATATCTCAAATACAGTGTGAAAGCTTTTCTAGAGATCGTATCAAAGAAAATAGTCTATTCCTTAAATGAATGGCTGCCTGTTACATTAATGGAGCCTCCTAGTATTTATACACGAAATGCTCATAGTGAGTCTTAACAGTTCTTAGCTTCTAATGCTACTTCTTTCATCATTCTCAGAAAGATTACTCTTAGTAGAAATGCCATACTTGCTTTTTTCTCAACATGATGATAGTTTTATACTTGAAGTGTAATGTTTGATTCCCACTAGTCATTCTAATTTACATTTCTAAAGACTTTGATCATTTTGAGTAAGTTCTATTCTTATGTAATGATGCAGATGTTATCAACAACCTAAATTCAATTTGATCTTATACAGATACACAATTCCATATATAATATGAGCTATGCACATTTAGTTAAATTTATATTGAATAATAAGATTAGGTGAAGTCATAAATGTATACCTATATAGTTTCTTGCCATTCTTGACTTCCATAATAATGAGGGTCAGCGTTTTCTTCTATCTCTTCTTCTCCCGGGCCTTCGTGATGATCATCGTGATCTTCACTCTCAGAATCATCTGGAAATCTCCTGTAAACTTGGGTCTTCAGTTGTATTGTTTGACCATCAGCGCTTCTCTGTTCACCATAATAAATACTGTGTAAATGAGGGAAGCAGAGGAAAATGTATGAGCTTACTGGCTCTTTTAGCTTATTTTGGTCCACACGAATGTATGTTAAATGGTGGTAATATAGCAGGTCAACAGTTGGGCACATCACTGTGACATTGAGATCTGAAAAATACAAATTAAAAATTAATCTTACTGTATTACTTCCATAAGCCTACAGTGGATTTTACTTAAATGTTTATGGGGTATAGTTTTATTAACTAAAACACTTGTAAGTAGAATTAGCTTTAATTATTTTTTTTACAGTAATCAAATAATAAAATGAAGGTGAAACTATAAATGAGTTTTATATTGTCAAAATAAATGATGGCTTCATTGGCTATAAAATAATTATTTGCATATTAAATACATAATTTAAGTAACAAATTCTTAGTAGGAACAACCTCAAAAAGAAAAGAGAAAATCACCTAAAGTTCCACCACTCAGGATCTCACATTTCTTCATATACTCTACAGTACTAATCCTCAAATTCAAAGTGATAACACTTAATAGAAAAGATTATAAACTGTAGAGTACAGTTTTCTCTAGGGGCCTATCTCTGCTATTTCCTTAGCCTGATTCAAAGCAACTATTTTCAGCAATGTGTAAAGCACAGATTTTTAAAGATTTGTTCTTTAAAAACAATGAAATTTTACATACTTTCAATTTCATTATTTTCTAGGTATAGATGTTCTAAATTTCTTGGAATATAGAATGCTTGCTTCAACTTGTTGTGTCCAACATTGAGCTCTATAAGGTTGGAAAGATTAAAAATATTATATGGGATGTCTTGTAGTTTGTTGTGTGACATTCTTAGAGCATGAAGTTTTGGAAGTCCATTGAAGTACTTTTCTGGTATAGAAGATATTGAATTATTTTCTAAAGACAGATACATAAGTGAAGAAGGCAAACCAGGAGGCATCGATTCTAATCTGTTATTACATAGGTTGAGCTGCATGAGGTTTTCCATTTTGGAGAAGATTCTTCCTTGTAACGTAGAATCCTCAATTTGATTATAACAGAGATCAAGCATGGTCAAGTTTACTAGCGCATCCACGGCATTTGTCTGCACTCTGGAGATCTCATTGTAACCAAGAAGAATCCTTTCCAAAGACTTAGGAAGAAGAGTTGGAAATTCTTCTAAATTGTTATGCTGTAGGTGAAGTTGTAGTAGATTCGACAGTTTAGCAAACACACCATGATCAATCTTTTGAGATTTAATTTTGTTGTGGCTGAGGTTGATTTCTTTAAGATGAGTGGCATTGACGAAGGAATCTGAAGTCACAGCCTCAATTTCATTGAACTGAAGATAGACCTGTTGAATGTATGCTGGAATATTTGGGATAGTCCTGAGTTTACGATTGTCACAGTACATCGATGATGGAAAGTTAAGTGGACAGGAGCATTCGCTGGCACAGCCTGACATAGGCTGATGAAATGGAACTCCATAGTCTACATTTTGACGAAATGGGAATTCTGGTTGGTAGACATCATCTACTTCTTGCTCGTAATCATCATCCCATTGATAACTTTCATATTGGCAATATACTTCAACTCCAAGGAAGAAGAAGAGGACACATAGTGGACTTAAAAAGCCCATGTTCTTTCTTTTATTGTCCTATTGCAAGGCAAAAAGGGAATATATTGTAGGAAAAGGGAGTGAAACTTAGAATAATTCTTGAATAAATTGACATACAAAATGCATAATATCTATGTCTGCATTGAAATATATTGAAATGTCCATAATTTGTGGGTGATGCTCAGACCAAAATTAATGTCTAAGTACCAGTAAGGTGGTGTTTTTTAAAAGTCACATATTGCTGTGAACCAGACTATAACCATCTTTTAAGAGAATCTCGATCTGTCTTGCTTACTAGACTAAGATTTACAGTCATAGCATGACATCTCTGTACCCTAAAGCTGAGAGCTCTTTCCACTGTAAATGCTGGGTGTTCTCACTGGCTACTTGGCCCTTCAGTGATGTTCCCTCCCTATGAGAAAAGAGACCCTATGTTTTAGTTATTTAGGAGATTCTTAATATTAACCCAGATTTTCCCCCTGCAACTTCTGTTTTCTTCTGCTCTTTGGAAGGAAATGGAACACTCCCTTTTATGTGAAAACTTGAGATATTAAAAATAGCTATCATGTTTCCTCTTAGTGTTTTCTGTCCAAGCCTAACTATGACTTCAAGTTTTCCCTGTGAAATAATTTCCAGAATCCAATTATTTCATCTCTGACTCTACTTAAATAACTACTTCAAATAACAAATACACACAATATTTACATTCTACAAAGTCTGAGTTTCTATTTGGCTCTTCTTTGCATTTTTTCTTGTTGCCCTTCTAGCTTCTTCCCACTAATATTTTTGAATTAAGTTATAGATATACAGATATTAAAAACACTGTCCTATCTCCTCATGGAGAATCAGAGAGACATGTAATACAGTGAGTAGGAGGGTATGTGTGGGGTAAAGTTGTAAAGGAGGGAGTCCTTAGCTCGAGGAAGACAATTAACACTAGTTCTGCTGAAACTTGGAAGTTATAGTGAGTGGTGGATTGTGTGTACTGGAGGAGGAGCCTAAAAATCTTCATTTCAGTCCTATCATTTATGACAGTCACCTCACTTGTCTGCCTCTGGCCTCATCAGTAAAACGAGAATTGTAGTTTCTTAACCGCTTATCCCACCTGGTCATTGTTAGGGTCATAAACACATCTGAGATATGCATGTAGAAGAAGTGCTTGGCAAATTGGAAAGTGATCCAGATGGAATACGTATGTTATTTGGGAAAAAGTTAAAAAAAAAAAACCTGTTAATTTCTGAGGCCATTTTTCTCTACCCTTCTCATCCAGGGTTTCGTGAGAGAATTAATGTCCTAACACATTATTGTATGTCATTAAATGATTTACCTTCTGTTCACCTAGAATGGTGCTAAACTATCATCATTGGGATAATTGAAAAATTAGTTACTTAAATCATTTTCTTTGATAGAGTCCCATTTGAGAAAGACTGCTCTAGATCCTAATATCTTAGTTTCTTGTTTCTTACCAGAAACTCTACTGAAAAATGTAGAATGTAAATATTGTGCATATTTGTGATTTGAAGTAGTTATTCAAGTAGAGGCAGAGATCCTTGGTCTTTTTTTTTCTCTAATGTCATTTCCTCCAGTCTTCTGCACCATTCCATCCAGTGCACCTGCACGATGGGCCTTGTCATTACTGATGCTGCAATCTGCAGCTGTTTCACATGCTAACCACTTTTTATAACTTACTTCATGTAGTAACTCCAACTGCAGTAATTGTTCAGTTTCAGTGGGACCTAAAATATATTGATCCTCCTGTTTTTTCACTGCCCCTCATCCATACATCCCAGTAGGTTCTTACCAACCTAGATCACATCGTGCATCACAGCCATCACTCCTTTGCACATGTCCTAAATTTGCTAGACCCTTGTATCCTCATACTCATACTTGTGGTAAAGTGCAGCCCTGGTTACTGCTCAAGTGCAGCCCTGGTTACTGCGCATGGCCTGACTCATGCAGCTGAATACAATGAGAGAAAACAGGGCCGTGCCAGCTGGTCCCACTTTAAAGCCATGACCACTCAAGTGCTGTCAAGTGATATGTCCTTAGTTCATTTCTTTTTCCTTTCTCCTACACAAGCCTCTAACACCTTATTCCCCTTTGGGTTTAGATGCTGACCTTTCTTCCTTTTTCACAGGAAAACAGGATAGACAATCATTTACTCTTAATATATTTTCTTCTATTTAATCTTATCCCTACCTATGGAAAAATACCAAAATAGTCATGGTTTGGTCTTTTTAAACATTGTGATTTTGAATTTGTAGTTTTCTTTTGCAAATATAAATAAACTTCATCCACTGTTCCTTCTTATCTGTGGAATTCATGGAGGACATGGCATTTGAATTAGACTTTGAAGGAATATGAGGGTTCTCACAGAGGGAAGTAGAGAAGATTTGCAGATAGAAGAGATGAGCAAAAACATGTAAGCAATAAAAGATGAAATGTTTGGGAACTGGTGGTTAACTGTTGAAGGAACAAAATAAGACTGTTACAGCCAATCTGGACCAGAACCTGGAGGACTGAATTGTGACCTCAGGAATTTGCACTCTGAGAATGAACACCTCGTTTCACTCATTGCTATAATCGAGCCATGATCTTCACAGCGCAGTGTTTGTGCATGGGGTAAGATAGGGTCCTGGGGGGAGAAGTGAAAAGGTGTGGTCTCAATCCAAAGGGCAGCGTTCAGCGCTGGCTGACCCAGACCCGGGGCTGGGGAGCTCCCAGTGGGTGTGATTGGCAGTGCTCTTTATCTGCTGTAGTTAGTGACGCTGTACCAGAGTTGTGTGTGAACATGGTTAGTAAAGCCCCTTACAAATATTACTAGTGATTTAGTTTGAGTGGGTTACTTAGTTAACGATTGTCTTGAAGTTTGGGGATGAGGCGCTGTGCTTGATGGGGAACACAGAATGAAGAAGACATGAAGACATGGTCCCTTCTATAAAGAGCATATAGTTTAGTGGACAAGAGAGAGACAACACAGTGAACCATATTCTCAGGCAGAGGGAAATACGGTTTATAGCAGAGACACCAGTAGTGTGGGACCCAGTGGCTTAACCCTGCTTGGAGGAGACAGGGAGATCTTTGCAGACATCATTTGGCCAAGATTTTGGGAGATTAGCAGGAATGGGTATAGACATTCTATATATATCACTCTCTAGTTGATAATATTTATATATTAAATTTATAGTTATGTTATGGCATATTAACTTTTTAAAAAGTACTTGTCATACTTCATTTAAAGTACAGTGCCATGGATTTGGGCTTCTGTAGGTTTTCTGTGCCCCCGGAAGATAAAAGTAGAAGCAAAGAGGCAGACATGCAGCTACATGGGATCTGGCTACATAGCGGCTGTCAGAGCTGTTAACACAGTTGAACTCTGAAAAGAGCATTGCTCATCAGAACTCTGCATTTTATCCTTGTGTTAAGAACATCAGTAATTATCAGTTAGTAACCTTATATTTGAGAATTTAGTCATGACCCTGCTATTCAACAATTATGAAAAATTATTGGGGAAAAAGGAGACCTTTTGGTTCAGCACTTAATTGCATACCTTTGCCGTGCAATCAAGACCGCATGATGGGGTCTCTCTGAAAGTAAAGAGTTTCTTAGTATTATCTGCTTTTGGTCTTCTTGGTCACCTAAGAAGAAAGGTCTTTCCCTGAAGACATTTTCTCTTCTAAATCTGTACTCACCCTCATTGTCCTCATCCATTGAGGACCTTCACCTGTAGCTCAACTGTGCCCCACTCCCTTTTGACTAAGTGTGGTTTTCTGGCCTGACTCCCACCCTATCTCCATTGATCTGCCCATTAATTTTCTCTTCTCTTTCTCTTTGGCTTCACCCTCATAAATATCCCTGTTAAAATGATCTGTTTCTTTTTAGCCCAGTTTTTCATTCAGCTGGTCTCTTCCCAGCCATTTACTAAGCATATTTTTATTACTCCTGCTTCTTATGTTCTATAATTTATGCCTCATTTCCTATGGGATAACTCAGAGCAAAACATAAACTCACTGTCAGTTCCTGACCTCTCATTTTTGACAGAGTCTAACACTGTGCACAGTAAGTGCCCAAAGATTTGTTGGATGAATGATTGAATTATTAAGCTATAGATTACATCACTACTAATGTTAATGATTTCTAGGTGTTAATTTCACCACAGTGATTCCTCTAAATGAACAGTCAGAACGTGACTGTTCTTTTATCTTATTTCTCCATCACAATGTACTGTATTCGCTTTCCTGTTACCTTGTTTGAATAACAAATGTGAAAAAGGAAATTTAATAACTAATGTGAAAAAGGAAATTTAAAGCAAAGTAAAATATTTTACTAGTTTTTAATAATTATCCATTAACGTAAATTTTTCACATTATAGCTTAAAAAGTTTCTGTGTCATAACATTTCTCTTACCTGGAAAAAAGCACTTATGCTTTCATCAAGAAAGTCCTAATTTAAATTTCTAATCAAAATGAGATGGAACTTCACTCTGGAAAGTTTAAAGTATTTGGAAATCTCCATAGCATTTTGTTATTTTTAAAGACCTAATTGTTTTATTGGTATACCATAGAAACTAAAAAATAAGAAACCAAGTGTTACTATATGATTCAGAATTTTTTCCAAAGCAGTTTTAAATTTAACTTTGTAAAATTAAACTTCACTATTACAACCAAGACCTAAGAAAGTAAGACCCTTTTGCTCTTAAAAATATGAAAGTCTCAAAATTATTTTTAGCCATAATAGATTTAAATCTTAATTACCTGAAACTCAAGAAACTAGATCCTTCAGGGCTAGATAGAGTATTTGTATTTTCTCTCTGAGAAAGAGGCAGAACCATTATAATATCAGGGATTTGGTCAGTAGAGAAATTTGAGAAAATTTCTAGTGTTATCTGTAGAAATACCCATCTTGTCTACAACTGAAATCTCTAGCATTGCTCAGATGTATGGCTCAAAGGCATTTGCTATTTTGTTGTTGTAATTTAAAGTTGAGAGAGAGAGAGAGAAACAGAAGATTATTCCATTAACCTGAGAATCTTTCATTCAAAATAAAAAAAAATCTAAACAAAGATTATTGGGTAAATCTTAAGTTAGAAAATTAAAACCACTATATTACTTCTTTCCCTGAATATCTTGGCTAATCAGATTTAAATGTAGCTTTTACCAAATATTGCTTCCAAAAATTGTGCATTTATGATGGCTACAATCTATTTTAATGTTAAGCAAATCAAATATACTTTATTTTTAACAGTAGGAATATTTTCTTTAAAAAAATTGAAAATTATTTTATCATCATACCTGTTGAGTTTGCTTTAGTTTTCAAGGGTTGATGAATTTGCAAATCCTGTAAATGAATCAGAAATTCCTAAATTTTTAAACTGAGTCTCTTAAAAATCCACAGTAACTGTGTGTCCAGGCAGGGCTGTCCCTTGAATTACTATAGCAATTTAAGCAAATATAATCTGCTTGGAAAACACTTGACTTGAATTAAAATTATATATTTCTTTTCACTATCCCAGACCTTGTGGACTCAAATTAAAATGCTTGTGTTCTTGGTCAGATTTATGCGGCCTACGTCTTTCTTTTCCCTTTAATTTTGGTTTGAGGTGCAGCAGGAATTTCCTCTAATATGAAAGGCAAACAGGACTAAATGAAACAGCATGTACTGATTACTGTTTTTATTTTCATTTTCATGCCAAAGAATTCTTCAAATTAAGGTCCACTGTAACACAGAACTCAGTGTCTTGGCAATTTAAGGTGGAACTCAGAGTTATCTTGAGACCTTGGTTTTCTGATATCTTGTGTTCATACCAGTGTTTACCTTTATTAAGAGAAGGAACCAGGATTAGAAACATACATCATTTCATATCTAGTTTATTGTTAAAATGAAATGCATTGTCAGTGGCGACACAGATGAAATATATTGCTTTTCCACACAAAGAAGTATACCTTCTTCTCTATCAGCTGTCTCCTTTTTCACCTTCCATGTATACCCACTAGCATGCCTTCTAATAACATTAACCTCTTAGTTACGGAAATCACTCAGAAGGTACATTTGCCTGTTTTTAGTAGTTAAAAAAATAATTTTATAGTATTGAATAAGATAGAGCTAGGGACTACTGTTGATCAACCATTATACCTATATTTGGCTGATATAATAAATTTACTCATTTCACTGAGCTGTCTCTTGAAGAGTATCAGTTAACTACTTAAATGCTGTATTTTCGTACTAATCTTTTCATATTATAAACAGAGAGTTAACTTGTAGCTCTTGGAAGTGAACTTTGAGTGCATTCTTTGGGAGAGTCTTTCAAGCTTGTGCAGACTAATAAGGTAAAGTGAATCCTGGAATTTGTTTTTCTTTCATCAAAATAGTATTTTCCCTTAGATCTTTACAAAGAGCTCACAAGTTTTTTTTTATTATGCTTCAGATTTTTAAAAATGTACAGTGTTTCAAGTGATGTTTTGGCAATATTGTGAAAATCTTGTCTATTATCTGAGACACTGGTATGTAAAACGTGGCAGACTGTGTTTGGGCCAGGATTGCATTTTGTTACTGATCTTTTCCATGTGTTTCGTATTAGTGTTTATTCTTAAACCTCAGGCTTCCACACTGAGGAAAACAGAGCAAACCTGTGTACTTTTTCTAAAATTAGTCTACATGCCCTCACAATTCTTTTGAAAGATTAGCTTCAAATTAGCCACTTAACTTTTATTTAATTCTTCATTTAACTCTGTGATTTGAACTTGTGGCAGTGATTATGTTGTTCTTTTTTCCTAAAAAGTGAAATATTTTATCAACAGATAGCTAGAACACTCAGAGTCAAAAAGTGACTAGGAAATTTTTTT